CGCACTGTGTCGTCGTCGCGCTCCGGCGACCGAGACTTGCGGCTTGACGGCTCCACTTCCGTATCACTCATTGCTTCAGATCGATACGTGCTCTAAAGAATTCTTTGTTCCGCACCCCGCACTGTAGACGTTCCGTCGACCAGCACAGCAACCACAACGGTGGTTAGACTCACAATGCAAACTGACTGGTATTAACCTTTTATACTAACCAGTCATCGATATCGACCACGCGTCGAAACCAGACGGTGCTCGACCTCCCATGTAGGTGCGGTTTGCCCTCGGTCATTTCCGCGGGCACACGACGCACTTCTGCGGACGCGGCAGAACAAGCCCCTTAAAGGCTGGTCGGGGCATTGGAAACCGTTATAGACTCGGAACTTCTATAATTTTGACTGCCAATTTAAGTCGTATATTTTAAACTTTCTTTTTGTATGTAATTGTGGCAATGCCATTGATAGCATGATAAATGTAGCAGTATGCAAGTTGTGGAGCGTTATAATAGTACGTAGTAGGAAGGACTGATCGTTATGGAATTGTTTATATGTGATCTGTTGACAGTCGAGCTGGACGCGATTGCGAATCAAGACTTTTTGAAAATTCTTATGTGGGCCATACCTTGGTAAGCACACAAGACTCGAAATTATATATCTCTGTTATTCTCCAATTTGCCACATCGCCAACAAAGCTCGCTATATCCAGATACGCTTTCATACAAAACCCGAGTCCAAGTGACTGGTCGTGTTTGCGGCGGCCGAAGCTCTTGACATTGAGAATCATTCGTTGCGCCCGACGAGCTGGCTTTTATGATTGCTCCTGGTGACAAGAAGCTCACAAATCCCAATGCACAATGTGCACTCCTCATCCCTCACGGGAACTCCTCAACCCGACGCTAGGTGCCGCGCTCCACCCATCCCTCACAGGAAACTTTCTCAAGCCGACTCCAGCTGACGCGCTCTACCCATCTCACACGGGAACACCACCTGCCGACGACGTTTAAGACAAATGTCCCAGCCAAGACTAACGCAGCCCACGACTCAAGTCCCAAGCGCCACGTCAGGCCAATCGACCGACGAAATGACGTTCTTAATGCTGTCTTTGTCTCCGCATCTCTTCGCCGAAGATCCCCATGATATGATCTCTTTTAGCGCGACCACATCTTCGATACGACGACCTGCCGGCATGGCCACATACGAGGGCTTACCTGACCTAGGGGTGAAACCCCATGAATTGCAAATAAGGGGGGGCACCATGTAGTAACTTTCACAAACCATGAAGCCACTCGTACGGCCGATCCTCGAGCAGCCCCGCGGGGCAGACGGGACCACCGACTTCAAAACGGCAGGAGCGGACTTAGAGTGCACATGTCGCCACAAGGTCGAGGGCGATGATGAAGGAGGAGAATATTAAGTGAAAGATAATATCAACAACAGCCATAAAGGCATAAATGTCGTGAGTACCATATGCAAAGACCACTAGGGTACGGGGTACACGAGAGTCGCAGAGCGAGGTAGATCATGCGAAACGCAGGTTCCGGATACTTCGTAAAGAAGTCCGCAAGTTGTTCGTTGATGGGGACCTGTCAAGAGGGACGAGGAAGTAGGTAGCAATGATGCGACGACGAGGAAAGCTTCTGAGGCTGAGAACACAACCAAAAATGATGATTATCAGACTGCTTAGCTGACCTATGATTGGGCAGAAACAGTCCGACTTCTACAGAAACAGAGCACTGGATAATTCCGGATGACCGGATATTATCCGTAAGTTGTAGGAACACTTTTCGCAATTTTTATTTGATTAATATTTTACCAAAAACTGTGGGAGTAGGATTACTTGGGGCGGTTTGAATTTATCTTCTGTCCGGGGGATGTGCCCAAATCTATTCGCAACGGTTAACTGGATTTTCTTAGTGCAACACTAACGGGATCAAGTCGCTACGCGAAATCGATTCGCAACAGTTTCGAATTCGCATTGGAAGCCACTATGACCAGGAGTTCGTCGCACCTTGAACGTTTTCTGCATCTGCGTGGTGGTGCGCAAGCTACCGCAGCGTAGCGGAGGTAGGCTTGCTTCTGATTTTCGTGAGGGGTTCCGCGCATTGCCGGGGGTTAGCGATAGCAAACCTCTGGCGATGCGCCAAACCCCGGAATATGAAGACTACACTTCGACCTAACTAATCTAGGTTCTAGGGCGCCGGGGTTCCGATCTTTCAAGCCTCTTCATGGGGCACGTTCTTACGTACACATTTCGTTTGTTTCGAGGTACTCAAGTGATATAAGGGCCTGTTCCGAGTAAAATCTCAGACGAGGTTAAGCCAATGAAAACCTTGAATTTTTCATCCGGATGACCGCCAGGACATTCGCAAGAGAACGAGGTAGATATTTGTTTGATTGGTCTAAACAAAAGTATAGTATTACTACGTAGTACCAATCAGAGATTGGGCAACCTGACTTCCGATATATTCACATGGACGACGCTATAGCAGTGTGTGTCGCTGTTGCAGTTGCGTTTGATACAGTATTCTCGACAATGGACGGTCGTAGTTTCCGCGCCCCCATCACCAACCACTTTGTCATCCCGAGTAACACGTGGACCATCGTGCAAAACAGTCCCATCCACGACCCATGGTTCATACGACACCTGCGGTGCACGCGAGGCACGTACCAGCGCATCTGCCAAAATGTCGAAGTGCATGACAGCGCGTACTCATTTGCTTCATGTAGTTTAGTAGAGTATACATTTTCGTAGTTAGTAGTTTAAGATGACAATCTAATCACTCTGTGAAGCTCGCTACCGTTACATTTGGTAGCACTTCCTAGTTCAGTTCAGTTCGGCAGCAAGGAACGTACACCGAGGGGCATAGCTCGGAGGTTGTAAGGTTACTCAATCTAGTTCAGGTAAAGGTTCAGTGGCGACCTTTCGTAGCGACTAGTGTCGAGCTAGCGATCGCCTAAGTGTTTCTTTTTCCTCGACAGTACTCGCCTTAGTGTCCGGCATCAGGGTCGGTAGGGGCAGAGTCGACCGTTGGGAAAGGGACATTTGGTGCGTGTGAAGAGTCACTGCCGACAAAAAAAAAGTAAGCGACTGCGGCGAGTGGGAAAGTCAAAAGCGGAGCGAGCGGCAGCGGCAGTGGCGAGCGAGAAGGTTATCCAGCGAGACCTACGCAGCGAGAACAGCGACTTAAGTAGTAACCGAATTAAGTACGCTCTCGACGAACTTAGCAAGGTCCAAGCTACTTTACGTCTGTCGTCCGGATACGTAACCGAAGCGATTGACGCGCATTTGTTGGCGAGACCGAAGATCGAAGCGAAGAAGCCAAAGGTCGACACTAAAGAAGACTTAGTTGATTACTTAGCGAGCCTGTAATAAAACCTTTTTTCCAATCGAAATCATGGAGGAAGTGTTTGCGAGGCTAGTTGGGACTATGGAGCATCAGCAGCAGATGATCCAACAACTGCTGGAGGCCCAAACCCAAGCACAAGCGCAAGCGTTGGCAAATCAACAAGCGCAACAGGAGAATCAACTGAAGGCGCAGCAGGACATGCAAACAGCGCTTCTTCAATGTGTGTCTAGTAACGGCGATCAGGGTAGAAACCAAGTACGTGACACCGAACGGCGTGTCGAGGGACTCTCAATATCAGCGTACCATGGGCATTTGAATGAGAGTATCGGGTTATACATCCATCGAGTTAAGACGTTCTTTGCGGCGAAGAACTTGAAGTACGAAACCGACGAAGCGGTTGAAGCACGCTGTCTAGCGATGGTTGTTGCGAACCTCCAAGGGGAAGCAGCTGCATGGTGTCAAGAGCTAGCGTCGCAAGGTCATGGGTTTACGACACTCGCGGAGTTTAAACACGGTTTGCGTGAACAGTTCGAAGCGAGTGATCTACAAGAGCGGCTACGTGACCGTCTGTTTGCGTTGCAGCAGAAGGGGTGCAAAGACTTAGTCGAGTACATCGAGAAGTTCCGTCGTGTTTACAGGGATGTGCAGGAGATGTCAGAGCTGGACAAGGTGACGTTCTTCATTCGAGGGTTAAAATTGAAGACCTGCGAGGAAGTGAAGTACCGTCAAAGCAAGACTTTGTCTGAAGCGATCAAGGCGGCGTTGGAGTATGAACGTGCGCATTCTGTTTCACTCTCGTCGATGAAGCGTCCCGACAAGCCGAACCGATGGAATCGGACGGACTATGGAAGCGGCCAGCGCGAAGGACATGTACCGCGTTTGGAGTCGCAAGTGTCCACAGACATGGAAGTGGACAATGTCAAGATGCAAGGCAGTCGGAGGAAGGATAGCAGCAACATTCGCTGTTACAACTGTCAGAAGTTGGGGCATATCGCGACAGAATGTCGGAAGCCCAAGAAGAAGATATCAAGGCAGGCACCGCCCAGCCACCAGAACAACCTCGAAGTCCAGGAGCAAGTGTCGAACGATGATGTTGAGCGCATCTCGTTTGGAGTCGTCAAGGAAGTAAACGACGACAAGGGGACTGTGGGAACGGTTGTTCAAGTCGAGCCGGAAGCTGGAAAGAAGTCACCAGCGTTGATGATTAAGTCGGGTGTAATGAATGGCAAATATGTGAAAGTGTTGTTGGATTCTGGAGCGACGCATTCACTTTGTCGAGTTGGGTTGGGAACCAACGTCATTCGCAACAAGTCAGTGCGCATTGCTGCGTATGACAATGTGTGGTCACCTATGACGAATACGCGAGAAGTCATGGAAACGATCAAGGTCGACAAGTTCTCATTTAAGGACACAGTAATGACAGAGTGG